GCCGGTTTCCCTGTCCCAGGGGTGGACAGTAGTCGGCTGTTCTGGACACCTCGCCTCCAGCTGGCTCTGTCCTGTGGGTCTGTACTGGACAGACCACACTCCTTAATATCCTTCTGGATACACTCCAACCAAGTTTTTCTAGGCCTGCCACGGCCTCTGTTGCCTGGCAACTGCAAGTCCATGATGGTGTTGATGCAGCTACTTGCTCTTTTAACGTGCCCATACCATCGGAGGCGGCGTGACCGTAGTACTGAGGAGATGTCTTCCACACCTAGCTTGGCAAGCAGGGAAGGGAACACTGGGTTTGAAAAGTGGGATGGGGCCTAGAAAAAAAATGTTGTGTTACCTGTTTCAGTCCTGAAAATTAGGGTAGGTAGGTAGGGAAGGCCTTTTTTTTTCCTTTTTGTTTTAGACTTCAGTATATAACAGACTATATAAGGGTCCAACATATGCAATACAGTTTAAAAGAACTTTCAAGTAAAACTTGCATGTGGACACTTTTATTTTCAATGTCAATGGTAGAAAACCAATAATGTACAAAGTGTGTACACTCAGGTGTCAGATCATTGATCTAAAATAGGTTGATCAGCTTGAAACATTTACGAATTTTTGTCCCTTGCAGGGGTCCACCCCAAAAAAAGTCTAGGGACAGCAGGTTTTTCTAGGGTCGGTCGGGAAACAGGAAACTCAACGTTTTTTTTCCTATGCCTCAGTACAGTGTGGTGTTTATGTCACAAGTTGTTAAAGACCAGTACCATCCTTAACTGTTGTTGTGTTTTGTCTCTCCCGCTCAGGTAATGATGAACAGGTGATTCTCCACGACACGGCAAGGTGAGACAATCTCGCATTGATTACAAATCAAATTCAAATCTAGTGTGTGAACACACTAGCTTCTGTATCTGTGTTACCAGTATGTCTGCCTCACAGGCACACAATGTGAACTGGCTATATTACACCAAACTTCAAGCTTTAAACAACTCCTGCAATCAAATGTGCAAAGATTGAGTGTAACAAGTCATTCGGTGTGATATAGCTAGCTGCCGCTGCGCCGCGTGCCTGTAAAGCTGGTGTGTTACGCCGAAGGGCGGTTATACCGGCTATACAGATACAGATACAAACGACCTGTTACACCTAATGACACCTAATGACTTGTTACACCTAACTTTTGCACATCTAACTGTAAACTTTGTTTAAAGCTATCTAGTAACGATACCACTACTGTACTCGAGTTCTACTCTACAATCATAGTCGGATCTTGGATGGTGGTCTTGGGTGTTGTTCTGTACCATTGAAATTTCGTCCCTTTTCCGTTATCCAGTCGAGAGACGAAAGAGGATACCGTTTACAGGCTCAGTGTTGCAGGCAACTATATCAAACCTTATTTTAGCTGCCGAGACCTGGCATAGTTCAATCAATCAGTCAATCAATAGCCTTTATTTATACTGGAAATGCCCTGTTGGCCTTAGCCGCTCTTCCCAGAGGTCCAGTTGAGGGGGGGTGGTCACGGGAACACAATGAATAAGTAAGTTGTAAGATCTGTCATCTGATATTGCACTTATAGTAAAACGTTGAACTTTGTTCCAACATGCAATTTATAGAGAGATCACGTTGTGAAGTGATTAGTCATTAATTATCCTGATTAAGGTCGCTGAAAATTTGATCTTTCTGTAAATTGTGTGTTGGAATAAAGTTCAATGTTTTACTATGATTACTACCAAGTACACAGATAGGACCCTTGGATAGGACGTTAAATGGAGGTCCCGTGTTTGGGAGAGCCACACCCCACGCATGTTAAAGAACCCACCGCACTTATCGAAAAGAGTAGGGGACCTTCCTGGTGTGAGTGGTTCAAACATTACAGTCACAGGTTTGACATCTTTGAAAAGGTGATATAGTCACCTGTTATGTCAATCCTTCCACAAATGTGGTAAATCTTCATAAATAAAAGATGAACTTTCATGATATTGCACTAACATATCTACTTGGACTTAGAAATTTCGTCCCTTTTCCGTTATCCAGTCGAGAGACGAAAGACGTGTTCCGTCACGAGGATGCGGTTTACGGGCTGAGCGTGGACCCAAACAACGACAACGTGTTCGCCAGCGCGTGTGACGACGGCAGGGTCCTCATCTGGGACATACGCGAAAACCCCTCAGCAGGTCAGTGTTTAAACCATTAATTACCTCCATGAAAAATGGAGGTATTGTTTTTGGCGTGTCTGTCTGTCTGTCTGTGTGTGTGTGTGTGTGTGTCTGTCTGTCTGTCTGTGTTTCCACAACTTTGTGGTCAGCATAACTTCAGAACGCTTTTATGGATTGTGATGATATTTGTTATGTTGGTAAGTCTTGGAAAGACAAAGGTCAAGGTCAAATATGGGCCTCCTGGTAGATGACCTTGGTACTGCAGCAGAATTTCCGGTTTTTGTATCTTTTGTCCTGAACAAGCTATGGTCTTGACTTTTTGGTGACAGATAGCTTTTCCTGAAGACTCATATATTTCATGGAGGTATGAGATCTTCGAATTCTTGTTCATTTCTGTCCTTTTTTACAGTCACTGACTGGGCACTGCTTTTCTAGATGGCCATGTGTACAAGCACTATATACAAGACAAGAACACAAATGTACATCTAAATCATTGCTCATACCTCAACTTAAATCTGAGGAGATACATACCAACATGTCTCTCATAAAACAAAACGTGTAAATAAATAAAATAGGGATGGGGGAGATTTGTAAAGTCTTGTAAAAGCCCTCAAGTGTAAGAAGAGATGAGAATGGTCTTAGATAAAGAAAATAATACTTTTTAGTGCAAAGTTATTTGAGCCTGTAGAAAATACTGTGACTGTCTGAAGTGTTGGATTGAAGATCTTATCCTCACTTGGACCTGGGGTTCTTTTTCTTTAAAGGACATCTTGTCGATCTTCCTACTTTAAAACAATTTCCTTCCTAGAGCCGTTCTACCTGGCCTACATGCCAGCCTTCAATGCTATATTTTCTGAACAGTTTTTAGTATGATCTATACTTCTGAGTGGTACAGGTAAAGTTTGTACAGGTAGTTTTCAGTGTTAGAAAAAAGCGTTTCAAGTCCTGTATACCTTTCCCTCCCAGAGCTGTTCTGCCTGGTGAACTACATGTCTGCCTTGCACGCTGTAATTTATGAACTGTTACAGTTTTTAGTGTAATCCATGCTTAAATCCGGGGACCTGTGACAGAACGTTGATCTGTAAATTTTTTCGTCCATTTTCCAGAGCCGTTCTGCCTGGCTAATTTCTGAACTGTTACAGTTTTTAGTGTAATCCGGGGTCCTGTTTCTTTAACTTAAAGGACAACACGTTGATCTGGATATTTTTTGTCTTCCCTTTCCCTTCCAGAGCCGTTCTGCCTGGTGAACTAAACGTCCACCTTCCATGCTGTGGTCCAACTGTTACAGTTTTTAGTGTAATCAAAATCCAGGGTCCTGTTTCTTAACAGCACATCGATCTGTATATTTACCTTCGCCAAGAAGGTTATGTTTTCTGAGTAGCGTTTGTCCCTCCGTCCTTCTGTCTGTCCGTCTGTGAACAGCATAACTCAAGAAGCTTAATATGCATTGTCATGAATCTTGATAGGTGGGTAGGTCTTGATGAGATCTAGAAAGGATTAGATTCTGGGCCCCCTGGCGGCTTTTGTTGGTACTGCAGCAGAACTTCTGGTTTTGATATCTCGCGATCTGGACATGTTTTTTACATCTCCCTCGCAGAGCCGTTCTGCCTGGCTAACTACACGTCCGCGTTCCACGCCGTGGTGTACAACCCGGTGGAGCCGAGGCTGCTCGCCACCGCCAACTCCAAGGAGGGCATTGCACTCTGGGACATCAGGAAACCTCGCAGGTGGGGGCAGGCATGATTTTATTTTATTTTATTTTATTTTTTTTTATTTTATTTTATTTTATTTTATTTTATTTTATTTTATTTTATTTTATTTTATTTTATTTTATTTTATTTTATTTTATTTTATTTTATTTTATTTTATTTTATTTTATTTTATTTTATTTTATTTTATTTTATTTTATTTTATTTTATTTTATTTTATTTTATTTTGCCGTTCCCATGGGCACAAGATCGGTGCCATATGTCAGGACTCGAACCCAGGACCTCTTGGTTCCGAGTCAAGCACTCTGAGGTTACACCACAGGACTCCACCAAACCAGATGAAACTATTCACGTTGTCTTTCTTCTTCCCAGCTGTGTGCAGAGGTTTGGGGGCAGCCTGACGTCGGACAGCGCCATGAGTGTGAAGTTTAACGGGCTGGGGACACAGGTGATGGGCCTGCGCCGCCGGCTGCCTCCCGTGCTCTACAACCTGCACTCCCCCACCCCCGCATGCCAGTTCGACCACCCCGGCTACTACAACTCCTGCACCATGAAGAGCTGCTGCTTTGCCGGAGACAGGGACCAGGTGGGGAGGGTTGAATGTGTGAGTGAGTGAGTGGGTGGGTGGGTTTCTGGGTGAGTGAGAGAGTGAGTGAGTGAGTAAGTGAATGAGTGAGTGAGGGTGGGAGGGTGGGTGGATTTGTGAGTGAGTGAGTGAGTGCTGTGAGTGTGTGCTGTGAGAGAGTGAGTGTGAGAGTGAGTGAGTGAGTGAGTGAGTGAGTGACCAGGGACCAGGTGGGGAGGGTTCACTTTTGGGAATAAGTGCACTGGTGCACTAGATAAAACAAAACCTAATTACAGATCTTACTGCTCCTCTTCTGAGCTTTAATCTGAAATGGGACTTAACTTCAGAATCGTAAGCAAGAGTACTACAACAAAGATTTTATTAATTTTCTGATACTTAGATAACAGGATTATCCTGTATACTAATATCCTGTATACTAATATCTTTACATAAACCTACGAAACCTACAGAAAAAAAATTGGGTGCACAGCTCCAAATTTGGGTGCACCAAGGTGCACATGCATCCAGTATTTTGAGCCCAGGTACTTAATACAAAGCACATCTAATTAGTCCTATCTACAATACCTTGTATAAAGTCATAACCATTGGCAAGGATGTCACATTTTAGCGTCTGCTACATCACCAGTTACCATGGTGACAGCCATCTGGTCCAGGTCATTGACCTTTTTATGCAAGAGCTGCTGAAAGAAAGAGCTTATTTGTGTCCTTTTGTTTCAGTATCTGCTGTCGGGGTCAGATGACTTTAACCTCTACCTGTGGCGGATACCAGAGGACACAGAACTGGGTAAGGGTGCTTGCTTACAGCTGTTGGGACAGTTATAACAATTTCTCCATCCTTTCGTCATTTAGAAGATCACCAAAAGACTGCATTTCTACTAAGATCACAAAACCCACTAATTATGCAGAATGTGGGACTATTCATTATCCACTGCCTTCAAAGAAGAAGTTGAACCCCATAATAGCTAAGCGTAGAAGTAGAAGCAGAAGTTTTTTCCAGACAGTTGTTACCTGTCTCCTGTTGCTGTATTGCAATGAGTATTGAGTATTATACTTGATTGTAAAAGCAATTAGCCTTCAGGCATGATTTTGCAAATAAAGTTTCTATAGAGTTATAGTGGGAAAGAGAACACACCACACATCAGCATATCCTCTGTTAGCTGACTGCTCTTCCTGTTGATGATTAGTCTTAATTAGTGCAAGACTAAGACTGTAAACTTAAAGTGGGACTAATACACATATAGCAATAAAAAATGTCGGGGAGCATTCTTTTTATTTCACTATATGAATGTGCATTATAGACCATTAGTTCAAAGTTTGTAATCAAATGTCATTGAATTGCACAAATTTTAACAGGTTTCTATAATGAACAGGTTTTTATATAAATGTAGCAGTCTGTAAGTTACCATCTGCAAGTTGTGTACGGAGACGATCCAGACCCACAGATGATGCAGTACCTTAAGCACAGACAGGGGGCGTCACTACCTCAGGGCTGTATATGACTGTCTCTTGTTATGTGATAGTTACATCAAGTCATATCACAAGAGAACTCCAAGACGGGATCTTACCAGGTTGACGAAGAGACAGAGTAGCTAATAACTTTTCCCAAAGTAGCTGATAACTGTGTTGTGTGTATTATCAAAAGGAAGATTTGTCAAAAGTACACCTGTAATGTAATAAAACTCACCGCCTGTACGTTGTTTTCCGCAGAACCCCGGGTAGTGACGGCTCACATGGTGCTGAAGGGGCACCGCTCCATCGTGAACCAGGTGCGCTTCAACCCCGCCACTCACCTGGTGGTGTCCTCAGGTGTGGAGAAGGTCATCAAGGTGAGTGTGGAGGGCTACTGTTGTTAGAACTTTACTGTTGGTATTGTTTCATTATGCCTTGCATTCGGAATGTCGTGAGTTTGATTCCCAGTCATACCAAATACTTTACAAACAGTACCGCTTTCCCTTTCACGCTACCTGTATGTGAAAGAATTTGTAAATATTGTAATGCAAAGGCTGTGGAAGACAAAATACACTTTATCTCAAATTGTTCCTTTCATAGCAACGCTCGAAATGAGTTAACTATTCAAACTTCTACAATTTATCTCAATTTTACTAAACTTACAGACAAAGAAAAAACTATTCTTCTTTTAACTTCCCAAAACCCACTAATTTTAGAAAAGGTGGGACATTACGTCTTCCATGGTCTAAAAAAGAGAAGTCAAACCCCTTAGACATAGTTTTAGACATAGCTATAGCTCTAGACAACTACCTTTTATCATGTAGATTTTAGTTATTTTATACTACGTTTCATTGTTTGTAATCTGCAATTAGCCCCCCGGGCATGAATTTGCAATAAACTTCATCACACAGCATTTGGGAAAAAGAATGGGGCTTAATCACACTTGACTACCTGTGAAGTTGTGGACCTGCCCCCTGCTGTAGTGCAGCACGGCATCAGCAGGCTTTTCTGCCTAATGTTCCACGTATTGTTGAAGTTTCAATAAAGGACCTATATAACCCCTAACCAGGTGTGGAGCCCGTTTAAGCAGCCAGAGTCCGGCGGGCAGATTGAACAACAGGACAGCACGCTATGTGTGTGTTGTTTATAATTCACCCCACATTAATAGGTCGAAGTAGCAGGATTAATCTGCAGTTACTGTTATACAGTAGTACACATATTATTTTGTCCTTACAGGTGTGGAGCCCGTTTAAACAGCCAGAGTCCGGTGGTCAGATCGAGCAGCAGGATGCCACCCCTCAGCGCAGCATGTACACACATGAGGAGTACATCAGCCTGGTGCTGAACTCCGGCCAGGGCCTGTCCCACGACTACGGACACCAGTCTGTGCAGGTTCGTCTTAACACTCGATATCCAACATGATTTGGATATAGAAACGCAGGAAAGTTGGCGCATTGACTCTCTTCCATTGTATGTACTACAGAGAGGCAACAACCCTGCTAACTGGCATTGTCCCTAAACATAGAGAGGTGCGGCAGGTGACGCACCAGTCCAAAGCCAGCACAAAAACACTCTGGTGGTCCCTGTGTCCCACATTATCAACCATAAGATAACTTGTGTACCAACAAGTCGGAAGGAGATTGTTATGATCAGGGCAGACAGGGATTTAAATGCGAAGTAAATTCTTTCCTCGGCACAAAACTCTGACAGCGTTCTTTCTAGTCTGGCTGCTAATGCTTAGAGCTGACATAGATAAAAAAAATTATGACTGTTTTTAATTTGTATATAGAACATACATTTGTAGATATATATCAAAGGATATAGAAAAGTTGGAGATTTGTAAGAGGGGTCCGTAATTCAGCCCCTGGGCTGCCAAAACTTCCAAATGTGTACCATATGATTGTATGTACAATGAATGAATTGAGTAAATAGACCAGTCATCATCGTCATCCTCAGGAGGACCCGCGCATGATCGCGTTCTTCGACTCGCTGGTTCAGCGTGAGATCGAGGGGTGGAGCTCCGAGTCGGAGGACAGCCTGGAGCTGGATGAGGGCATCTTCCGCCCGCTGCAGGAGCTGGCCGGGCTCGACAGCGATACGGCAGGGAGGGCCGCTGAACAGGCACAGGTCAGGGTCTGTTTGTTTGTTTGTTTGTTTGTTTGTTTGTTTGTTTGTTTGCTCCGAGTCGGAGGACAGCCTGGAGCTGGACGAGGGCATCTTCCGCCCTCTGCAGGAGCTGGCCGATACGATGTTTGAAATTACGAGGAGAAAGAAAGAAAGCGTGTGTTTCCTCCTCGTGCAGGTGCTGGGCCCCCGCAGTCCCGGAGACCGACAGAGCGACACCAACTCCACAGAGTGCCTGCTGTACACTGACAGTCGGACCAGCGAGAACACAGAGGGGACGCCGCTGAACCCCAAGTCTCGGGAGTTTCTGTCCACAGACAGCGACTCCGACAGCGATGACCAGGTCATATGAATGGTTTATTCAGAATATACATAACACAGTACACAAGGAAATTGTTACTCAAGCAACTGGATAGATTTTAAAAACTGTATGCTGTATGCTGAAAAGTAGCGGATGCTACTTGAAATGTTTTTTTCAAAATCTATGTAGTTGTTTGAGTAACAATTTCGATGTATATGTACAGTACTTACAGACAACAGACTCGCTGGTAACCTTACTGGTTGCCTGAATTGAGCTTTGGTCGACATAAAGACATTATTAAATCACTACAACTTGCTATTAAAAAGTTCTTACTAGAAACATTGTTCATTACCACTATTGTTAAGATTTTTATTAATCACAAGTATGCCTTTGTATTTGTCATTATACATTCTGCAGTTATAGAATTACAATCATTTTTGACAATTCAGTGTTATTTTTGTGTCCTAATTTTACAGGTGACTCAGCAGCCGGCCAGGAACAGCTCGAGTCTGCCCCGGAGGCTGCGAGTGCTGATGTGGGGGGACGAGGACAGGCCGGAGGGGGGTGCCGCGTCTGGCAGCAGGAGGGGGGGCAGCCCTGTACCGGACAGGGGGGTGGCTGTCGCCGCAGGGGGCAGGAGGAACGAGGCAGCAGGGAGAAGAAGAGGGGAGACGTCTGCATCTGAGGGCAGACGGAGGGGTAGAGCCGCCGCGGCTGCCAGCTCGAGTGTTCGGCACGAGCAGAGCGACAGCGACAGCGATGCGGACAGGAGAGCGGCCGCCATGCGGCAGAGGAACGCGCGGAGAAGACTCAGTTGGACACACGCAGCGTCGCAGCCTCATCATAACTATACAGCAGCAGCTGCAGCAACAACCAGTCAGACTGCGGGAACCTCCCTGCAGTCCTCAGACGACGGAATCACAAGTGCAGCACCCGCTAGCACTACAAGTAAGGCCACATCTGCCCCAACAGCGGAAAGCTTTGTGCCGTATTCAGATTCAGACTCCTCTGAGGGAGAGAAAACCCTGAAGAAGCTGACATATACGGAAACGTCAGGAACAGAACGTCCTGGACCTTCGTCTGTAGGTGCGCCCCATAACCAGGGAGAGCAGTCGACAGTGTTAGAAGAACCAGTTTCTAATGCAGGTGAGTTTGTGAACTCTTATGTATGTGTGTGTGTGTGTGTGATGTTATTTGTATGTGTCATCATATGACACTGTTTCTGTTTTTAATGAATCCAGGAAGAATAAATTAGAATGCCTAATCTAATGAATTTTCAATCAAACAGGTGAAGATGGAGGGTTGCCCTTGGCGACGCATCAGCAGGAGAGGGCTGCAGAGGATGCTGCGGGTCCTGCTGCGGCACCGGGTGGAGACGGCGTGCGAGCCGGCGGCGCGGGGAACGGAGCCGCAGGGCAGCAGCAGAGGGAGGAGCACCGCCGGGTGAACGGGAAGACGATCGTGATCCGGCACGACCCGGAGGAGACGGGAGAGGCCATGCTGGAGCGGCTGCAGAACCTGGTGGAGCAGTACAACCAGGTGGTGGAGAGGCACAACCAGTGGAGACAGGCCCTACGACAGGCACAGGCAGGGGACAGGCCTGAACAACAGGCACAGGCCGGCAACAGGCCCACCCCACAACAGGCACAGGCCGGCAACAGGACCACCCCACATCAGGCTTGGGACACTGCACAAGCACAGGCCAGAGACAGTCCTGAACAACAGGCACAGGCCGGGGACAGGCCTGAACAACAGGCTGGGGACAGGCCTGAACAACAGGCACAGGCCAGCAACAGGCCCACCCCACATCAGGCACAGGCTGGGGACAGGCCCACCCCACAACAAGCACAGGCCAGAGACAGTCCTGCACAACAGGCACAGGCAGGTGACAGGCCCACACAACGGGCACAGGCAGGTGACAGGCCCACACAACAGGCACAGGCAGGTGACAGGCCTACCTCACAACTGGCAGGAGGGAGTGGGGAGGGGGCAGTGCCTGAGCCGGATACCAGGGACAAGATCTCAGTGGAGCAACCTGATGCAGAATTCAGACGGGAGATTCAGGATTCTAGCAGGAGCACTGGCCAGCTGGTTGGTCTCGAGGCAGCTTCTGGTACGACTAGCGATGACAGTACTATAGCCCACAGTAGCCAGTCTGCTGCTGCAGAGGCACAGAGCACTAGTAGTGTAGGAGCAATGCAGGGATCAGAGGGTAGCCCGTCAGCAACAGTTTCATGTGCCCCTGGACAGAGCACTAACAGGCCAGCAGCGGGGAATACTTTCGGACAGCACAGGGTGGTGGTGGGAGATCTGAAGAATGGGGATCTGGCAAATGGCTCAACAGTCGAGCGTGGTCCGCTGATGGACACCAACAACAGTGTGGATAAGAGACAGGCAGACACGCTGCCCAGTATGACTGACCATTGCTACGGCGTGGGCAGCTCGTCAAGGAAAAGGTGTCACAAGGAACCGTTAGGCAGTCGCACAGAAACAACGCAACACGACGGACTTACAGCTACAGCGCCCAAGAGGGGAAGACTGTCCAACGATCAGTCCAAGTTGGAACCCGACAGATTACCAGTATTACACAGTCATGAACCAGACTGTCCGTGCACTGATAGTGATAATGGCCTGGGCATGCCAAGGGCTCCAGAACTGCAGTTGTGTGCGAGTAAAGAACCCCTTCCTTCCAGTAGCTCCAATGGAACTATTTCCCTTTCTGCCAGTAGCACAGCAGCAGCAGCTACAAACTGTAATGTTACTCCCACAAACTCAGCTACCGGCTTGGACAGAACTGATACCACTGAGTGGCACAATTTTAAGAGATTCAGAAACAGACTGGAAAGAGCAAGAAATCGTGACCACGGGAATTTGGTGGACAGTGATAGCGATGATGACCTATAGGGAAGCATTTAAAGAATAGTATAACCACATTTAACCCCCAGCTAAACCTAAGTACATGTATGAGGAAACACACATTGTGCGGTTACTCACCACACATCTGTGTAGTTCACTTTTTGTGTTTTTCCCCACATGATGCTGAGTGGACACATTATGTGTATTTTGTTTCCTCCCCATGTGCTAAGCACGTGTCAACTGAATGTGGTGTAAGGAAGTATACAAACTTCACAAGTGGTTACAAAAAGACAATGAATGTGTATTTCCTCATATTTGGTTCCACATATATACTAATGACTCCATAGTGTAGGCGTAGCTCAGATCATGAATTGTCTTTCTCCCAGTCTTGCTGATAAATACAGTTGCTTACATCAGGTATAATATAAACCTCCGTAATATAAGGACATGTTCACAGCTATACAGTGCAATGCAAGACAAGAATATGTTTCAAGTGGATATGATCGGTGTTTTCTGTCCTCGGGAGAAATGTCTGTTGCCATCATTCGTCAGTTCCTGTTGCCTGCAGATGATTATTTTCTATCCTTACTTTTGTGTCAGTAATCCCGGCACTACCTGTCAGTTATCTGTTCAAACTTTTATTGAATAAATAAAAACCTGCTGAGGGATTTAACTTATAATAAATAACATGAAAGACGTGTTACTTGAGGAACCAACCAGATTGACATGTTTCCTTCACAACCTCGAAGTTCAGAAGTACGTGAGTGCAGCAGTTAATGCATCTCCCTAGATTATTTCCTATGAAGAAGATCATCCATAACCAATCCCTCAGCAATACATCTGTCATAGGATACTTGTTATTCTTTTGTTAATAATAACTACCTACCCAGTAAACCCAGAGGAAAATACTATTGTGTTACTAAAATGCCAGTCTCCTCTAATGCAAGCTGAGAACAATTATGATGGTGTTCAAAGATGATAAATGATATGTACAACCAGTTAAGATGACTGGCTAGATTAGAGTATTGTACCGTTGAAGCAGCCTACAAGGATATACGGGTCATGTCCAGCATTGCTTGCAAGTCTTACCAGCTTCTGTAGTAGAATTCTTCTATGACTACCTGCCTACAGGTATCCAGTGATGGATTGTAACTGAGCTGCCATATCCCTGCAAAATAAAGCCTGGCACATTTACCAAGTACAGATGTGATTCTTTACAACATCTACAAACAGTTTTTCTAGTCTCTACCAGACTCCTTTGCAGGCTAAATAAATAGTAGAAATCGGCAAAGGGGGAAATCATTGGCCAGAGGAGTTGGCCGGCCATAGAGGGT